CGGCGGCGAGCAAGAACAACACCCCAGAGTAAAAAAGGAGGAAGTCTCCAGCGGGAGCGTTGTTGTTGGGGGGCCGGTTTGGGCGGTCCCCCAAACCGCTCGAGCGTGAGCCTCATTTTCAATGAAATTGTGTCCGGTGCCTCGGCGAGAGCGCCAGAGCGCTTTTAGGGGGTCCAACAATCATAACTGTTGAGCGAATAACATTCAACAATGATAAGAGCAGCCACACTAATGCCAGAAAATATAATAGTAACAAAAATAGATAGAACCATAGGAGTCGTAGTCGTCGTAGGAATAGTACTGGTGTAAAACAATCATAACAACAATAATGATAATAATGAAATAAGAGTCGTGATATTCACAATTATTATTAATACTAATAATAATAACTAATAAAAATTATAATAATAATAATAATTATAAGTAATATAATTATTATAATAGTAATAATAATAATAATAAATGTCTTCCCACGATTTGCGGAAGCCTGGCCACCCGCCCCGCCGTCCCCGCAGGACAGGCCGCAGCGACAGCGCTTCGAATTTTCGGGGGGAGGGGGTCTGGAGGCTCTCGCTGCCACGGCCAAGACGCGGTTTGACAAGCCGGCCAGGAGAGGCCCCCAGGACGCCGACGAGGACGACTTCTCCCCGCAGGGGGAGGCGGGGGCCCGGGGATCCCGGAAGGCCGCCTGAGACAACGGCGGCTCGCCCGCCCGGCCCACACCACAGCCGCCCCGAAGCGCCCCCCCCCCCCCCCCCCCCCCCGAAGGCCCCGGGGTCCCTCCTGACCCGCCTTTCGAAGCGGGTCCAAGCGCGGCGAGGAGAAGCCCTCCAGGAGGCCCAGGACGGACGAAGAGCGCCAGGGAGAGCCGCCAGTGTCTCGACGGATCTTCCTCCGAGAGGAGGTCTGGAACGGATGAGGGTCGAAGCCCCGCGAAGGAGCCTCGGGCACCCCGCGGCGCCCGGGGTGCCAGTGCGACGCCCTCCGCCCCCTGCCGCTGCTCGATGCTGCGGACTACTGGCTCCCTTCGTCGGGCTGCAGCCCTGTCCCTGCCCCGGTCTTCGCTGGGAGGGGAGGGGGATGGTTGGAGACGAGCTCCCATCAGGCAAAGACACCTTCAAAGGAGTGGAGAGGGAAAGGGGGGCGACAGCACAGGGTGGACGGCGGAGGACCTGAGAGGGGGGAGAGGGCGAGGGGAGAAGTCCTTCGCAGCCTCTGTTCCTGCCCCTCCACCTCCACCTCCCCAGGACTTTCTCCCCTTCGGCCCACTCGGCCACCGAGCGGGCTCGGCCTGGGTCCCACTCGGCGCCCGCTACGGAAACGGCGCCCTTGCACCGCAACACGTTTGCTTGCACAACCTGCAGGCCCCGCTCCAACGCGGCACGGTGATAGTCAGCGGCTCTGCGGGCCGGAAAGCTATGCACCGTACCATCCCTGGGTCGAGGATCGACGACGCCTCGAGAGGTACCGACCCGACACGGTGCACACACGTGTCGCCCGCGGAGCTGCATGGGAGCACGCAGACTCCAGCCACGGCCCCACAGGGCTGCTGGCTCCCGAGTCAAGCCCTCCCCCCGCGAACGGCGGCGCGACCCCCCATCGCGCCCGGACGCGAAACCTCGACAGCGACCAACGTTCGTTCGCACTCCGACGCACGGCTTTCCTTCTCAGCAGCTTGTTTGTGAGGGCCCGATCTGCTCCTTCTACTACTATGTGGCCTGCCGGATCCGGAACCGGTCGGGCGTCGTGGCCTCCCGTGGCCTCCCGTTGCCACTGGAGGCAACCAAAGCGGTACCACATGCACTGGTAATGATTGATAATTAGCATCGGCATCCGTAACAATAGGAGTGTCAGTCTTAGTCAGAGTATTCGCATTCACTCTATAGTATCCGCATTAGCATTAGTATCATCAGCCGAGAGCGCCGAAGTCTAACGCACACAACCCAGGCACTGTGGCGGGATGGGCCGAAGGCCACTACATTAGTAGTTATATTGAGGTTAGCATTGGCAGTAGCATTAGCATTTGTAGTCCGCCGCCGTGGCCTCAGGGCACGAGTGGGAGCGTCCTCTGATTAAATGGTGACTCCCTTAAGCCTCAGTCCTAAATCCTGAGGATTATCTCAGGGGCCCGAACCCCTAATTCATACGTCTCTTGGGGTTTCCCGCGTGCCCTATGGGCTCGCTCGCATCCTGTCGCATGACCTGGCCCAAAGACGGCCTAAGAGCCCCCCAAGAGGCCGCCCACACAGTCCGAGGGTGCAACGAATCGCTATACGATCGGTCCAAGACGCTCAAGGTGGCTCCAAGACGGCCCAAGAAGCCTTCGAGATGCCCCAAGAGGCTTCCAAGAGCCTTCCCACGAGGGCCCCGAGAGGCCATAATCGCTGATGTTCCATAATGTTGTTTGTTTCATGTGTTTGGGGTTCTCGACTGCTCGAGCTTCGACGCTCCAAGACGGCACAAGAGGCTCCCAAGGCCGCCCCAGAACGGCCCAAGAGGG